GCCTCGAAATAATACTAAGTACAAAAATTGTTAATGTAAAATTTATGAAATAATGAGGTGCTTGTTGGTTTTACAGGTGGCTAAAATACCAAGGGTAAAACATTAAGTCATAAATTTGAAATAGTAATAACAACTATTAAATGATTTAATTTTAATAGAAATGTATAAAAAAGAAAATATTTCCAAAAACACAAATTCCTAAATAATTAAAAAAAAAAGTTCTAATTTATTTTTCAAGTATCCATAAATTCGTAATGCCAGTTATTATGACATCAAACATATTATCTCAAATACATTATCACAGCCTTTGTTTTGCTACCACAAAAACTCAGACATGAACTCTACTAGATATGCATAAGAAGTTGATAAGCCATACCACAATATTTTTTCTTACTCTACTTTGTGAAATCTCATAGTCTCAATATTTAGCACATCAGTGCCAGTTCCCAGATCAACAGAATTGTAGATGCAAAGTCCCATCTTTTTAAAGCAATTATTCGCATTGCATCTCCATATGGTTTTTGTGTGATACCTAACTTCATTTCATATGCATTTGTTCAAATTCAGGTGAAGTGTAAAACATTTCTTTCATTACAGAATGCAACAGCTTCATTTTCACTTGACAGTAAATTGAAAACTTGTGTATTAAAAGTGGAAAAAATCTATTAAAATTGGATAAAAATGTAGTATGTGATTTACAGTTTTTAGCTAGTAATTTATTTTTTAGAATGGTGTCACTAAAATTGATGCTTTTAATCATTTCTTTTCCCTACCAGTTTATCACATGTTTGAATATGAAAGCTATAGAAATTTTTATTTTATGAAACTATTATTACTAAATTATGAAACTACTGAAATTTAAATTTAGTGGAATTAAAAATTCAGTGAGTTATTAAATTCATTACAGAATCATTTTCATTTATGCATTCTTGGTGGTTTGTATTAATTTTCATATTTAAAGACAGCATTTCAGAGGCATCATCTAAGAAATGAATAAAAGTGTAGATCACAAACTGCATCACTATTGAAAAACTATCATCATTTGAATTTTTGAAAAAAAAAAAAAAAAAAAACAGAGTTCCTGCAAATGAAAAATTAAAGAAAATTATTTCACAATTACTACTTGATACTGAGTTTCACTTATGAGAATACTCATGTGCTTTACATGCATAAAAACATACGAACTGAAGAAAATTTCAAAATTAAAACTCATGTGTAAATTATCATTTTGAGAAAATGAACCAGAAAAAATTTTACTTAATTTATTGTTTTGGATTTGCTATACCATTTACCAATAAACATGACCAAACTTAGCAATTATTTGCCAGTCATTGGTAAAATTGACAAGTACTAATAATAACTTGCTTTGACATATTTTAATAGTGAAATAAGAAGGCATACAGCCTGACAGGCTATGTATACAAATTAAGTATGATTTTCAGGAAGACATGTTAAAGAAATATATATGTATTAATATTAGATAAATACAGCTATTATCTTTATGCAAATTAAAAAAAAACTGCAAATGACTTACAGTAATTAGTATATACTTACCAAAAGTTCTATTCCATAAAAAATTCCTTTTCCTAGTTCTGGAACTATGCCACAGTAACGTACTATGCCTTCCACAGGATCCAAATCAGCACCTAAATCTACATTTACATTACTACCTTCAACAATCATTGCAGCTTCCTTAAGCCACTGTTCATCAGAAAGTACACGCAAACGGTCTCTAACAGGAGAAACAGGAACTAAAACTTCAGCTTCAAATGGAGTTAATTCATGAACATCAGAATTGTTGCATAGCATGTAAACATTATCATGATCTAATGACTGTACACACACAGATGATCCCTGATCAGATTTAATTTCTTGTAATAAACTCCCAGGAACAAGTTGAACTTCAGTTTCTAGAGTATTTTTATTATACAAAGGATTAGGTCGATTGTCATCCAAAATCTTTTTGCCATAGCACTCTTCTAGCAATAAGAACTTGCGACGCTTCCCACGCTCTAAAGACATGTTGTGTTAAAAATACAAATTCAGCATTTAGTAATACCTAAAAAATAAAAGAAAAAAATTAAACTTAATGATGAAACATTTTAAAGCAAATAAAAAATAATATTTAATCATAAATACAATCACCAAACTTAAAACACATATCTATATACTTTTCGTAATATTTAAATATTAAATACGTTTCACAATTATTTAAAATGTGTGTGTTAAATGTTATAGTTCTTTTCCAATATATGGTGTGTAATTTAAATTTTTTTTCCCCACATTCCATACCAACCTAGGCAGTGGTGGCTAGTGGAAGAAACTGTCAGTGCAAGTTCGATTGTCATGTAAAGCTTGGTTCTGCATGTTGTTTATTTTTAAAGGTAAAATATTATGTGCTCTCAGCAATGCAACTTAGATAAAATTTTTGGGAAACAGACATATAAATGAACAACTGGTTCAGCCACTTCCCCGGTGAATGCTAAATCAGGCATATCTAGTTACAAGGTTAAAAAAAAAAGCCATGACTCTATCAGAAATTGCTTTAAAAATAAAATCAAGGATCTTTTCCATGATGGCACAATGCACACATCTTTTTTCAATTTTATTTTAAGAACAAAGTATGTAAAATGTCATACTTCCAGTGAGAAAACATACTTTTTCATCATCAGCTCATTTTAATTGAGGAAAATTTTTCTAAACCCATAAATGGTATATCTCTTAGGTTAGCTATTTCAATAAACAAAAAGGAAATTAGAATGGCATACTTTTAAAAAGTTTTCTTTGAGTATATTGACTAAAAAGAATACTATTACAAGTAATAAGAACAACACATTTAATTTAATAATGGCAAATAAGTGACAATGGTCTATATATATTTCTGCAGAAAACTGTTTAGATTGTTATTCTATTAACGGAAAAGACCCACAATTATCATTTATTAACTATTACAAAGGAACATATTATCTTAACCACCTTAGTAAAAGTAGCCAAATTTTCGAAATGTGCTAAACTTTGGCAACCTTGCACATAATTATTTTCTAAGCAAACACACTTATGACAGTGCTTCAGTCAAGTATCGTCACCATGTTTGTATACATTCTTTCTGCTGTATTTCAAGTTCCAATGTTTTTTGTAAACAGATCATGATATTTTAAATGTATAAAATTTATGAAATATATGCTTGTGGGCTTGTCAATAATGGAAAAAACTGCAGTAAAATTTCTGAAGGAATACATTATTTTCAACAAAATTGCTAAAGGAAGTAATAACAGGATATGTTTCATAGATAATTGACATGTGATGCTGATTTTATGCAATTCTTTGACCTGTTTTGTAAATGAACACAGATCACTGTGTACATGGGGAGAAAAACAGTGCAAAATAATTATAAAAAAATATGAGTGTTGCAAAATATATGAGTGTTTCACTTTTCTAATTGATCATATTAATCCTTATATAGTAATTGAAATTTGCATTTAAATTGCTAAAGAGCATTTTTTGGCACTTTTCCGTTTCACTGGCGCAAATCTCACCAAGCAGACTTTATTGGCAACAACATACAGTATACCCATAAAAAATGTTAACAAATGTTAGTTCCGAGAATTTTTTAATTTTGAATTAATAAACATTTTAATATCGTTTAAAATTTTGTAAAAAGACAATAAGTTTGTAAAAAGACATTAATTAAAGAATTTACTATGCTTTCATGGTACAATATACTGATTTGCCGTTTCATATCATGTGACCACAAGTGATCTCATTTCACGTAAACTATGCTACAAAAATCTAATTGTCTCAGTAATTATCTACAATAATTTGAAGTTAAATCTTAAATTGAAATACAAGTTTAAATGCAAGAAGTATTTCAATTCGTACGAATAGCTTACTCAGAAATTATGTAAAACCGCAGTGCTTTACTTCACTAGTGCATTCTCATTAATTGATTAATTTAACCCTTGACTTGCCTTTCCTATATTTTAGCCTTCGGGTGAGCGGTGTGATTGCATCCTAATTGACTTAATTACTGTGAATGGCCTTACAGCATAAAATCAAACTATCTGTTAAAAAGTCTATGTAATTGTATGCCAGTATTGAGAGAAACAATCAATCTGATAAGAAATGGCTGGAACTTGTTTGGAAAATGAGGTGTAAAAGGTTACCAGAGAGGATATTCCGTTTGGCATCGGTACCATTTTTGGCGACTTTATCGCTTGCGTCGGCAAAATGGAAAAGTACCCATTTTTTTTTTTTTATAATGCTCATAATTTGCCAATTTACAATAAATAGCAATAATCTGGGGATCTTTTAAAAAGAGTTGCTAAAATCACCAACCTGCATCCCATAACTAACTTTTACTTTTCATCTGTAAAAAATGTTGCCGGACTGTGCCAAGATAATTATGTTAATATGCAAGTACCCATTTCACAACTTGAAAAATACTGAGGGATATGAAAAATTACAGAATGTTACTGATGTTTTCAATTTTTAATAATTAAGACATACAGCAATTTTTTATACAAGAAATTCAAAGAAACAACAAGCAGTCAAGAAATTTTGTACTAACCAATAAATAATAGATACCAGTGGATTTTTCAACAATAACAATTCTGCAATATCATAATGCAAGAGCCAGCTTCAAAGTATCTAAATAACCTTGAGTTAATTAAAAACAAAACTCAACTATAACTTCTTTAGATTATGTATCTAAAAATGTTTAATAGTAATTACTCATAAGATTTGTAGCAGCAACACATTAAAGACAGAAAACTAATCTTCACTTTGCCCTCAATATCACCATTTAAGCGCTAGATTAGGAAACAACAATTCTCAAATTCAGCTCTAATTAGAGAAGTTGAAGTTTCAGATTGTGAATAATATTCTCCTCAACAAACAGCACCACTAGTAATGTTCCACTCATTAAAAAAATACACTGCTCATTATTACAAAATGATAATGATTGACACACTATAAATTGTTCTTATTCTTTCACTGCACAATTCAAAACACAGAGGCTCGATTGAATGTCCGATTCCCCTCAACACAGCAGAGCTCAGTTTGGACATGCTACTAAATAAATAGGGCTTGTAAGCACCTTGTCGCATACTATGCTGGTATACTATGGGGAAAGTACTGTAGTAAAGGCCAACTAAATACAGAAAACTAACCCTGATTTACAGCTGATCACAAGTGCACTTTTGGTTCAATGGTTTAAGCATCAGGCTACCAAAAAGTAGTTCTCAGGTTTCAGACTAGTTGATGAAGTAAGTGTTTCAGATAGCAGAAAATCTCCTCTGAAAGTGGTGCACTAAAGATACTTCAATCATAAATAACTCCCGATAACAGGTTATAAGACAAAGCACAGGACTAATAATATCTAAGTGGCCAAATAGGATGGATATTTTAAGTTTTTGATATTAAAAACTAATGACACAGTAGAAGTAGCAACTACTAACCTCAATCATATTATTCACTGGTTCATTGTTCAAAAATCAAGGTTTTTTTTTTTTTTTTTTTTTTTTTTTTTTTTTTTTTTAATTCAGTTTTTGTACATTTTTATTTGCAAATATTTGTGCTTAAGGATCAGTTAAGTAATGTCAGTGATAAAGCAGTGAGTTCTTAATGTTTGTCTGTACCAAGCAATAGCTCGGGAGACTACAAAATTTTGGAAGTTTTACTTGTATTGTTACATAATTATATGCTGGTATTATCATTATTATATATGAATTATTTATGATAAATTAGTATTAAATGTTACAAGTTAATTTAGGATTATTGATTAATTTTAATTAATTGCATACATTTATTTCTTATTATCACATTCTAAGATTCTCCTTGTTCTGCCCAAAATAGGATCACAAATCAACTTTTGACAAGATGAAAAACTTTTTTAAAGTTTTATTTACTTTGTTACTATATTTATTTATAACTGAATTAGAAGTACTGTGTTGATGATTATATGTTATAAATAAAATAATTTATTATTATTATTCTTTAGGCTGTTCCTTTTTCTGCTTTTTTGTAGGGAAGGTCCATTGTTCCCAAATGTGGCTGGAGATTTCAGGATAGAGCCAGGAGTAAATTTTTGGTAGGTTGCAAAGTTTTTGTTTTGTTACTTTATTATTTTCAAAGCTTTTCTTTTTTCCTTTTATTTCATTCTTTTTCTTTTTTTAAGGGAAACTATATGTATGTGGATAAAAATAAACAGCAGTTACACTCATGTCCAAAATATAAAGCAAAATTTTCTTGCATTTAGGGCTCATGTGAAAATCTGAAAGAAGGTGAACAGAAAATCAGCACTACCAACAAGCTGCATGTGTAAGGAATTCAAAGTATAAAAGAATAAATCTACAAATCTGAACTTTCTGTCAAATCTGAAACACCTTCTGTCAATGATTTACACAAGGAAAGTTTGAAAAATATCTCGCAATCACCAGGCTCACAAATTAAAAGTAAAAATACAGACTTCAAGCTTTTGTTATTTTTAATCTGTATTTCTATGACAATGTAAGTATATTCTTCTCTTTAATTTTCCCTGTTTTCTGTTCAAGACCCCTTAATTTTAAGAGATTAATATATAAAAGACCCAGAGTTATTTTATTATCTTGTATTAGTTGTATATACATCAAGAATGCAAATGCACTAAATTACAGATAAAATATACACAGTTTGACAATTAAGTTCCTTAATTCATACTGCTATTCTGTAAAAGACAAAAACGTTTTAGGTGTCAGATTCTAACTATGTTCTTCTCTTACATGACAATAAAAATGTGGAAAAATGAAAAGCCTATCCTTTTCTTAAAATCAATAATCGCAGGATCTTTTTGTCACACGGAAATGAGATAGATCATCAAGTTTTGCTACACACAAGAAAAATCAAAAATAAATCAAACTGTTTATCGAGACATCATAGCCTGTGGTCATACTGTTTAAATGGATGCTCTATTTCCCACAGGAAGGGTAAATGATTAAAAAAAAAGGATGACTATCTAAGAAAATTGTGAAGAAAGTTAACTATCCTTTCTAGGTAGAAGCTCTTAATAATCAGCTAAAAAGGCTTCATCGTGTGACATAGTGGTGACTCCTTTTGGATGACAATGCACTAGTACAATTAAAACTAATTAAGGCAGAGTTCTTTGCCGAGTACACAACATTTAAGCTCAATCACTCATCCTTGCTCCTAGGACTTGGCTCCTATTGACTTCTTTTTGGTCCCCAAATTAAAATTGGCATGGAAAAACATTTTAAGAATGTTACAGACATCACGGAAACATTCCTTCTCAAACTTAATAGTGACTCGAAAAATTTAAATGATCCTAAAAGTAGTTCTGCCATCTGGAAGAGTCACCTCTAAAGATTCCATTTTCTGGCACTTTCAGAAAAGATTGACCGTGGAAAACCTGCACCATCAAGTATGTGGATTAAGTTGATGTCTAAAATTTGCTGCATTGCCATAACTCCATCACAAGTTGAGAATGTGCTATACAAGCTTTGCTAGAACATTTATAGTTATCATAAGAATAATAACACAATGAAGATACCTGGTTGATTTTTGGCACATGTCAAATTGGTAAGTTTAACAGTTCACAGAAAAACTATGCATGAATGGATAAAAAAGATTACAGCTCTTTAGACTTCTGTTTCAACATTAAATGACAGTAACTCAGGTAAATATCATCTGATCAACGCAAACTATTGAGCAAACCTCATTTCTGGAAAACATTAAAGACAGTGAATTTAAATGTTCAGAGGTACTTCTGAAATTCATTAAAAATAATTTTTTCAAGTATATGCACTTACAGGATGATAACTTTGTAAAATAATTAATATTTTAAAAATTTACACATTAATAAACTCTGTCTAAGATGATAAGTCTTAATATAAACTAAATACTGACAAATTTGGACTTACAGTAGCATATTATGTTAATTACATATTTGTTTATTACAGTAGCATATTATGTTAAACACTTTATACAAATATTAGAGCACACATTCTAAATCACACATTTACAATAAACTGCCTATTTAAATTTTATTTCTTTCTTTAAAATATTGCAACTGAAGGTAATTTATTACAATCAAATTCATATATATTCAACTTTCAAAACTGTATATTAATACACAAGATGAAAACCAGAATTATATAAAACACAAAACTATCTTAAACTATTCTAAATCATAAAACTGAACTTTTCTTTATACTCTCCAATACTCTACTGACATTTAAATATTTAGATTTAATTTAAATATTTAGATTAAAAACTGAAAGTCATAATAAATTTTAACAAAGTTGTTACACTCTTTGCATGAAGCTCATAAAATTGAAAAATGTATCAGAAATGAAAATATTATTTGATCATACAATTGCTCAAAAGAGGGAACACAGATTAGCACAAAATCATTCCAACTGCAACATTTGGTGCATCAAGGAGAAATTTCAAAATTAGTATCGCGACGTCAAACGACATGTCAGTGATCTATTTTGAATAATTCTGATATCATGTACATAACAATCATTCAGTTAGAAGCAACAAGTTGCAATGATACATAATTACCTCTTCTTGTACTTTCAGAAAAGATTGTCCACGCAAAACCTGCACCATAAAATATCAAAAGTGTGAAATTGAATAAATTCATCATGTAAAAAATAACAATATCTATAATTCAGAATCACACTTTTATTTCGGCTCATTTAGCAAAATTTTAAACTCTATTTTTGTGGAAATTAAATAATATATATATCTTTATACACTTTGTAAAAGCATGCGCGCAAAGCAAACGCTGGCAAAAACATTGACTATAAACTTATCCTGAAACTAAAAAGTTTAACGTTAATAATATCAACAAAGACTCTGTGATGCCAAGCGGGTTTTAAAAATATTTTTCTGATATTGTTCATATAGTAATATAACAAACTTTTGAAGATCTGTAAAATGTTACTATTTATTCTCAGTGATGTTTCTTTATTAATTTTGTTCAAATTAAAGCCTGTAATTCACCCATTTTGTTCAATTACTGGCATTCTGTAAAACAAAGAAAATTACTTTGAAGACTTCTAAATATTCAGTATTTTCTTAATTATCGAAAATTACCAATTTTGAGGAATAAATGCAAAGGAGTGATCATAACTGCATTTTGTACTACAATAAATTTTTGGCATTTACAGTAATCAAACCCGGTTCTAGGCATTTTGCTGCCCGGGGTCCTAAATTCTGTTGAATGGTGCCACCCTAAATTCTAAAAATTTTTCCACTTCTATATTCTGCTGCCCAGTGCATCTAGCAAATTTTAAAATGTTTGCTATCTTTTAAATTTTGTAAGTTGGTGCTTCTGAAAATTCTAAACTTTTTGTCGCCCTTAAATACTGCCGCCTGGTGCAATCGCACCGGTTGTCTGTAACCCCGTCCCCAGCAGCAATTAAAACTGAACAGAAGAACGGGAAGGAAATAACATTAAATGCTGGCAAAATACAAAAGACAGGTATTGTCTCAAATCCAAGCCATGTACTTCTGTAAAGTTCATTACAAAGAACAGAGGTGGAAGGAAGGTGAAGATGGGCTGGTGGGCGTAGCCGTGCCTTTGTGCCCCGCTAAGAAAATGCTTTTTTTTTTTTCCCCCTTCCCTATTAACCAGTAAAAGCTTTCGAAAAATTTACTCTACAACGCAAGTAGAAGCGGTGCTAGCAGCGGAGGGCTCGGATTCGAGGTCCAGCCGCCATCGAAACTGATTGATTATTATGAAATATTGTATAGTTCGAATAATTGCTGAAGATAAGGAGTTACTTGAGAATTAAATAAAATCTAAGGACATCTTCTCGCGTATCAAATTTAACAGGGGGTGATAAACTGATGACATGAGACTTCTTATAAAATTTCTCAGTCAATCTGTTAAAAGTTCTTATCAAAGCACATAAACATAAGCAAGTGGAATAATTTTAGGCAACATTCACAATACATTAATACAAAAGCAATAAGAAATTATACAAAATTTCGACGGTGCATGATACATTCAGATGGAGAAACATAATGAATTATTTACAAGTAATTACTTAAGATGGTCTTGGCCGCTTCACATAGTTACAAAAATAGGAATAATGCTATTGTTTGTGTTTCTTAAGATTCAAGTGGAAATTTTGAGCCAGGTGATGGAAGTAGACATGAAATTGTGCTGTAGCTAATTCTTCACGGATTATATTATTCTTAACAAACCACGGGCAGCAGGCGATTTGTCTTAAGATGCAATACTGCACAAACAAACAGGGCAGACATAACTAAGCAAGGGACGCAATATAGTTTTATAAATGTGTAATCTGTTATATATATAAAAGGCCGTTCCGGCCAATTAAGAGAAAAAGGCTTAGCTTTACGGACTTGGAATTTCTGAATTAGATTATATGCGTGGGGGCCAAAAAAGATTTGCTCTTTTTCTTATTATTCTGCTGCATTCTTTCACTGCAAAACTTCAAAGACCCCTGAACGACAATGTTTTACTGAACTCACAGTTTGACATCGGAATAGCTTTTTATCTACTCTCATTTTAAAAGATACAGAGGAGTAGCGAGTAACTGGTTGTTATTTCAGAAGTTTTCTGTAGACAGTATTGTTTTTTGTCCTATTAATTTACAGACGAGAATGCCATTTCCTCCATGCCGTTGGGGCTAGGGGATCGAGGTGAGCTTTTTTGGGGCGAAAATTACGAACTGTGTTACTTGAAAGCCTCGGTTGTTGGGTTTATGAGATGAGAGAAGAAATTGTTTCAATTTTACTCTTAATTTCCTTCATTACGGTAATCTGATTGTAGAGCAAAGTATTTGGTGTTAAATAGTTATAAAAACATCTGCTGTATAGTATAATAACTCGCTAAATTTATTGAAAAGCACTTGCACGGGAGGTAAAAAATTTTGGTCAACCAATCGGAATACATGCGAGCTGAGTTGCTGATCTAGCCTGTTTTCTTTACCTTTTTTCTGTTCCCCCACCCCACCCCTGGCATATTCCGTCAGCGTTTATATTATGGAAACATATGCAAAATTTAATGCGCTTGCTTTGTTTCAGTTTTTCACTCTTCAGTCAGTCAGTCAGTCGGTTTAAAACCAGTTTTTTAAAGTGACTCAGAACACATTTGCATAATTACTGATTTTTAGCTCTGTAAAACTGTAAGGATCTTAAGTTTTACTAACGTTTATTTTATTTTAAATCTTTATTTTCTACTTCCGGCCAGAATTATAAGCGTGAAGAAGTTTATGCAAAGTTGTCTGGCGAACGCCAAGTATTTAAGTGTGGCCTTTTTGCCAAGCAGAAGAGAGGAAGCAGTGAGTTCGAAGCAGGCCGCTTACCTTAGAAGTTACGCAGTTGCTATTTGCCTTCCAGGCCAGAGGTTTTAATCCTCTTGATAAATTAAACGTATTGTAGTGTTCACAGTCTCTGTGCTACATACGCTTCCTGTTATTATAAGGCCAATCTTATTCTAAAGTTAAATTAGAGTTTAGTTTTATTTTGATATCTTTTACGTTAGACCCCGAGTGGAGGGTCATTGTATTCCGAAGTACGGAAGTCATTGTATATAAAGAAAAAATAAAGGGTTTTGTATACCCTTCGTCTGTATCCTGTCTACTTACTACAATTAGTGAACATAGCTTTAGTAAGCTCTCTGTTCTAGTCAGGTCCATTGTATGTTTCCGAAGAAGAAGAAGGTAAGAAGAAACATTGAACCTGATAGTGGCGCCCGAACGAAGAATAACCATGGCCGAGTTTCAAGAAGAACCTGTGCTGCCTGCAGAAACGGCTCAGAATCCAGAAATGCCAGCTGCCGCCCTGGAAGGATTTGGGTACATCGTCCAGACCATGCGCGCTTCGATGAAACCAGAAGCAACGTTTAATGGAAACTCACAGGTAACCAGTTTTTTGGAAAAATTGGATGACCACTTCATGCTCTACCCCGTGCACGAGTTTCAAAAAGTTACCTTAGCTACCAGCGCTTTGAGGGGCCAAGCGCTTAACTGGTTCAAATGTATCGGCAGAAGTCTCTTGGGTCAAGCAGGAAGTCCCACCTATACTTACGAAAATTTCAAGACTGCCCTACTAAAAGCCTTCCCTGTTGTAAGGGATCGTGCGAAATTAGAAACAGAACTTTTCAGTATATATCAACAAAGAATGGAAAACCTCTCGAGCTTTATTTTAAGAAAAATTCACGTTTTCAAGCTCTTGTATGGAAACCGTCCGGATCCTGAAATAATTCAAGTGATTTTGCCGAGGTTACTACCCCAAGTGCAAGACTTTATTGAATTAAGAAATCCGACTACACTGGAAAAATTATTTGAGCTAGCAATCCAGTTTGAAAGTAGAAGAACGGCGGACGTCGAAAGAAGACGCCAATATCAACAGCGAAACCAATTTGGTACGCCAAGACTACAGCAAACTCAAGCACACGGCTACGGAGAAAAAGCGAATCAGTGGGCAAGGAAACCCGAGCATTCAAAAACAGCCGGCGAACGTCGACAGTTCAATAGCAACCCAGGAAAAAAGTCTCAAGGCCAGTGGAAAAAGAAGGAAAGCACGGAAAAAGGAAAAATAATTTAAACTAAAACGGATTTCTGCTGACGAGAGGGTGCGGAAATCCGAAGGCCACGAAAACCCCTCTTCCTACAAGTTAAATACAGTAATGGTGAAAAATTTGACTCTTCCGAAGATTGAAGTCTTGGTGAATAATATCCCGGCCACCGCACTCCTGGATACCGGCGCGCAGTGTTCCTGTGTGGCAGAAGTCTTTTTTAGAAAGTATTTTCGCAAATACCGCATATATAATGCGGATAATACGACAGTATTAGCGGCGCAAGGAGAAAAAAGTAAGAAAATGTAAGTGCGTAGGTAAAGTACCTTTGTATATCCGTATCAAGGACGAACAAGTAAAGGTGATGTTTTTTATAGTAAAGAATTTGCAAGCACATTTAATCTTAGGAATAGACTTTCTTTCAGACGCACAAGCTACACTGGATTTTAATGAAGCGTCCCTTAAGCTGACAATGAAACCAGTTGCGTGTAGAAAAGGTTGAACCGCCAAGGTTAAATCTTGACCACCTGCCTAATGACGAGCAAGATAGAATCCGACAAGTGGTAAGTGAATTTGCTTCGTTATTTAGTGATATTCCAGGATTTACTCAGGTTACTAACCATAGTATTGACACCGGAGATGCATTGCCAGTTCGTCAAAAACCATACCGGTATGATAAGAATAAGGAAAAAATTATAGAATGGCATATTACCGATATGCTACGTAAAAAGATCATAACGCCCATCTCAAGTAGTTATGCTAGCCCGGTGGTTTTATGTAAGAAAAATAATGATTATCCTTTGGAGCATCCAAAAAGGTGGGTGGAGATTCGCTATTGATTACCGTAAATTAAAATTCCATAACGAAATATCCGGTATATCCGTTACCGATTCATAGAAGAAATTTTAAGGAACATAAAATCAACCAAATTTATGACGACTTTAGACTTAACGACTGGTTATTTTCAAATAGGGGTAGGCCTGAGGACGTGCCTAAGACTGCTTTTATAACCAAGTCTGGCACTTATGCATTTTTGCGTATGCCGTTTGGCCTTTCAGGGGCCCCAGCAACATTTCAGCGATGCATGGACATTGTGTTAAGACCTGTTCTTGGAAAGTCCACATTTATCTATTTAGACGATATCATTATTACTAGTGATAATCTCGACCAACATGTACAGGATTTAAGACAGGTGTTTTCTTTATTAAATGAGGCCGGTCTAAAAGTTAATGTCGAAAAGTGCAAATTTGCAGCCCCTGAATTAAAATATTTAGGTTACAAAATATCT